CCACTTAAATGTAACAATCCCGGGTGTAGAGCTAGTAGACCAGGTGGTCCTCTCTCAGGGGGCCAGTGAAGTCCACAGCTTTTTTCCCTTGAAGGTCCCTCTGCCTGGAGGTGAGCCCCTCCCAGCCTGGGCTCCTTCCCAGACTCCTGCATCTCAGTCTCACTTCTCCATCTTCCACCTGCACATTCCTGCTACTGAGCAGGCTCCAACACATTTAAGGGTGTCCCAGACCCTTGCCAAGCCTTCTGTTGGGGATTGGCTGAGGTCCCTCAAGGATGCACCCAGCCACTCCTCAGATCCATGCACTGCCTCTAGAGCCTCCCTCCAAAGCTCAAGAGCAGGGGGAAATTCCAGAGGGGCTGGCCTTCAGAGCCTCTCAGCCCTTACCATAATTTTACCCCAATCTGGCTATTACCCCTGGGCTGCTGCTCAGCCCCTATCTAACCATTGCAGTCTAGCTCCCCCTAGCTACCTAGGAGGGTGTTACATATGCAAAGGTAGTTAGTAAGTAGTAGTTAGTAATTGACTGTTGGTTCTATAAATATTAGTAATGGAAATAGTCACTTTAAGTTTGTGAAAATTGGGGACCTTCTCTGAGCTCAATTGAGAATCCAATAAAGAAATTGTAAGTAACCAGCACCAGGGCTATGGACTAGGAATTAGTTCATTTGTTTAACACAGATTTGTCATCACATGAGCCATGAATGGAGTGCCGTGGTCTGTCAAAATCTCTTTCAGTTTGCTGTCCTAGAGAACATGTTAAAGAATTTCCTGGCAATTGCTTTTGAGGAGGTCTTCCTTAGAGGGACTGTCTCTGGATCCCTTGTGGCATAATCGAGTACCACAAGTATGTATTGGTTGGTTGACCCAAGCTGATTTCACTAAAGGGCCTACCAAATCCATCGCAACATGCTTGAGTGGTATCAATAATGGGCAAAGGCACCAAAGGGTTCCTAAAATATTATATTGGCACTGTCAGCAGGCAGATAGGACAAGAACTGCAATATTGTTTCACTTCTGCCTTCACCCCTGGCCAGTAGAACCAGTCTGTGACCCCCTAATGCGTCATTGTGGACCAGGTTGAGTACTGTGCATATGAAAGGCTGATGAACCAGTAACTGGTCAACCACCTCTCCCTAGACTTCTGTAACTCGGTACAGCAGCTCACCATTGACCACAAAGTGTGGAAACCTTTTCTCGGCTCAGGCACTTGTGACACCCCATTAACCATAGTACCCTGTTCCCAGGCATTTTTTTTAATGTGGGATCCTTCTTTTGGGTGGAACCAAATGCGCCTATGACACTTCAAAATGGGAATAGGAGAGACTAGAGGAACTTTCTCACTCATCCTCCCCACACATAGGGATTAATTTACTAAAGGCAAATAGACTGTGCACTACAAGTGCACTGAAAGTGCAGTTGCTCTAGATCTGAGGGGAACATGTAAATAAAAACAGCATTTTTGTTTGCACATGATTTGATGAAAGAAATCAGTAGAGCTTTACCCCAGTTCAGAGATTCCCCTCGGATATAAACCCAGTGCACTTGCAGACTTGTGGAGCACTGATGAACCTGATGTTCCCCCTTTGGGCGCCAGAGTTAATACAATAGGATAGGTCCAGGATCATTTAGATTGATAGACAGTATAGGTGCTGTAGCAGTCCCTAGAAGTTTTGGCAGGGAGCTACCAGGGTTCTTTGATGGGAAGAGGCTGATGACAAAACTCCTGCAGGATTTAGGCTGTAGGAAAGAATAGATTATTTGCATCCATAGATAGGAATGCAGAACTCTGGGCATCTCCTGTAGGGTGAGATAGTCCTTGGCTCACACTCTTGACTTGACTCATAGTCTCTCTCTCTTTAACTATAAAATGCATCTGTATGCAACTCAATTCATGTGCTATCACCTGGGACCAGGATGACTGCAAGTGTGTATTTATGGATGTTGACTGACTGTTCAGTAAAGCATATAAAATGTTTGTATGCCAGGGCTTTTTTTCTCAAAAAAATAGGCGCAGGAACTCCCCCCTTCTGAGTCTTTTTTTATCTCCGCCCCCTACCCACGTTTGAGCACCATCACTTGGTTCCACACCCTACCAACCTCTCAGAACCTCGCCTTTTAGAGAATAGAGAGCCAAGTATCATTTTGTGGTGCTAAATAAATGTATGGAATTTGTTAGTGATAACAAGAAAGGAAGAAAAATAGATCCCCCACAGCCAGCAGCAATAGATCCCCCAGCATCAATAGATTCTTCCAGCAACAAAGAACCCCCAAAACAAAATACCACCCCAGCAACAATAGACTCTCAACAGCTACAACAGATCTCCCAGCAGCTGGCATTAAAAAAACTCTCCAGCAGCCAGCAACAATGGGCAACAAACCCCTTTCTCAACTGTAGATCCATTCCAGAACAATCGACCACCATCAACAATAAATCCCCCACAAGCAACACTAGATCTCCCAAGAAACAAAAGACCACCACACACAAATATATACCCTTCAGTGACAACAGATCTCCCAGCGGCCAGTAACAATAGATCCTCGTGCACACCCCAGCACCTCTTGCCATTCAGTGCTGGAGGTGCCGGAACTATGTTACCCCACGTTCCCGCTAAAAAAAAGCCCTGTTGCATGCTCCTGGACTTCCTTCTCCTAACCTCTATTGGTATTATCACCTAGTAGGGTCTGCAGCTAGTATGTGGAAGCACTTGTGAAGAATACAGTTAGGCCAGGTGTCTCTGAAGGGTGAGTAATGGAAACTATTAGAGTCCCCAAGATACCTTTAGGAGCCTCAGGACTAAAATATTTCAGTTTGCTTAGGGGAACCACTTTCACGTCCAGGCATGAATAGGTTAAGAATATGTGTGATGATCATGCAGTCCAGCACATGGCACCCCACTGTTACACAACAGTTCTATTTTAAAGTCGTGATGCCAGCCTGATTCAGATGTTACAGAAGTCTGTGTTATATATTGATACATGAGATGTGGAAAATAGGCCAGCACACTTAACAGACTATGTACACAATAATTCTATATCTGCATTCCAAATGTCATTGTGTAATTTACTGAATTACAGGCATACTCTTGAAGTACTCTGAATCTTATGATCTATTTTAACAGGAACTCCCTATTGCCTAATAATGATTTTAAGAAAAAAATATTTTTAGTATATTAAATACTTTAATTAATTAATTTCATTCATTAATGTATTTTACTCTGGTTTATTTTAAATGTTTAGTATAACAGAACTAAACCAAGAGCTGTTCAATGTCATATCAGGCATATTGGTTAATCTGTCCTTAGCTAACTGGCTGTAAAAGTGAGGACCTTTGCCATGTTAATACCAAATCCATATGCCCTTAACACCTGTGGAAGGAACTAGGATATGAATGAGACACACAGAAGAACTGGATATACTGAAGGGAGCTTCATAACACCATAGAAGGGTCTGTACCAGAGGGGGCTCCATAACACCAAGGAAAGTCTGTGCCTGAGGGGACAGGAGCAAAGAAGGGTCTTCTCTTCACCTTGGAGAACACCTAATCTACACAATCAGAGAACCCAGGTTGCAATCACTTAAGTAGCCTGGGGTCCTGTTTGTTACAGAAATTGCATACTATAACTCAAGCCAAGTAACTTTTTAGTATATCTCTATTTCATACAGACCATTGCCAATGCGCATTTATTAGGAAGGTTAGATAGCAGGTGCATGTGTGTGTTGTATGCATATTTGTAATGCCCAGGGATTTCTGTTTCTGTTTCCTTGCCTTACCACAAAATAACCCAAAAGATACAAGCAAAACACCATAGGATCTTGGGAGATTCCTATGGTCCAATACCCACACTATCATTCTTAATTTGTTCATCAAGTTAGTATACGTTATTGTGGACACAGTGAGGTTATAAAGCAGCAGAGCATATTCACATCCTCAGCCTTTCCACTTCAGAGGAACCCTGGAGATACAGTAATTTTAAAATTTCAGAAAGCCCTTGATAAAATAAATTTATGAAGTGTTTCAGTGAGCATAATACCCCTTACACTAGTGATCAATGGTCAGAATGCCACCCTTACAGCCCTCTAAAATGATCTTTGGTGCCATGCAGCTGATTCTGCAAAGTGGTGTGGGATCTGAAACTATGCAGGCACCATCAGATGAGAGGTCAGTCAGCCACAGTTTAAGGGACCCCTAGCAACCTCTGGAGGAACAGAACCCTGGTTGAGAATGTTTGACCTAATGTATGAGGTGAAGCAAAGTGAAATTCACTTTTGAAAGCATTTAAATAACAGGATTATGTTCACATATGTTTGGATGACTGAAGCGAACAAATATTAACCGCCTCCCGCCCGCCCATATAGTACAATGACGGGCGCAAGGTGGTTCTCTTATTCTGGGAGGATGTCAAATGACGTCCTCCCACTCTAACTGCACATGCGTGGCTCTGGGAGCATGCAGCACTGTGATCGGCGGTGCGCTGTGTCCCTCGGACACAGCGGATCACCAATCAACGGAAAGAGCCAAAAATGTCAGCTCAGTCATGTGATCAGCTGTGTCCAATCACAGCTGATTGCATGTAAATAGGGAAATGCCGGCTATCGGCATTTCTCTCCTCATGAGCTGTCACGCTGACAGCTCGAGAGGAGAGCCGGTAATCGGCAACCCTCAGAGGGGACATGTACACTGATCATCTGGGCACTGATGATCAGTGTGCCCTGATGATCTGTGTAGCCCCAGCAGTGCCACCTGTCAGTGTCCATCAGTGCCAGCTGTCAGAGCTCATCCATGCCACCTGCCAGTGCCCATCAGTGCCACATCAATGACACATTTCAGTGCCTACCAGTGCACATCAATGTCACATATCAGTGCCCATCTGAGCTGCCTTTTAGTGTCACCCATCAGTGCCAGTCAGTGCCACCTATTAATGCCAGTCAATGCAACCTATCAGTGCCAGTCAGTGCCGTCTATCAGTGTGCATTAGTGCTGCCTATCAGTGCCAATCAGTGCTGCCCATCAGTGCCACCTAACAGTGCCAGTTAGTGCCGCCTAACAGTACCAGTCAGTACCTCCTAACAGTGCCAGTCAGTGCCGCCTAACAGTACCAGTCAGTGCCTCCTAACAGTGCCAGTCAGTGCCACCTAACAGTGCCATATATGAGTGCTGCCTTTCAGTGCCCATCAGTGATGCCTGTCAATGCCCGTCAGTGCCACCTACCAGTGCCTCCTCATTAGTGCCCATCAGTGCAGCCTATCAGTGCCCATCACTGCAGCCTCATTAGCGCACATCAGTGAAGGAGAACAATCACTTATTTACAAAATTTTATACACAAAAACTAAGAAAAAACGTTTTTTTCAAAATTTTCAGTGGTTTTTGGTTTCTTTAAGAAAAAAGAAAAAACCCAGAGGTGATTAAATACCACCAAAATAAAGCTCTATCTGTCACAAAAAAATGATAAAAATTTCATATGGGTACAGTGTTGCATTACCTCGAAATTGTCATTCAAAGTGCAACAGCAATGAAAGCTGGAAATTGGCCTGGGCAAGAAGGGGGTATAAGTGCCCTGTAGGCTAGTGGTTAAAGAATAAAAAGTCACTTTTGCAGGGGTACATCTGTATGTCAAATGGTTGCTGTTTGGCTCAGCTTTGCACCAACAGGAGGCTTTTATCATCCCCATGCTTAAATATAAAGGTATCTCTCGATGCCATGGGGGTCCCAATCCTGGATCCTCTGTGGGGTTCTCAGGAGGGTGTTGAACTAGGTGAGTTTGGAGGGGTCTGATAAAGCCAGTTCATTTGAACTTATTTCCAGACCCTCATTTAAATTTTGATCATGAGGAACACTCTATGCACCATAGCTGGAACTCTATTTAGTGACCAAATAAAATAATACAATGTTGTAATGTAGTTGGTTTAACTCCCCACTCCAACTGGTAAAGCAAATATGTTCATTATACATGTGATTAATGCCTAGAAATGATCCTTATCCAACCCTATATCTCAATGTGATATTTCGTCAATGCATATGATTTTAATATTTTATATATACAGTAACTAATGTTCTACTATTGTGTATCCACCATATTTTATTTTATCTCATTTGATCTATTACACAATTATGTTATACTGCTTTTTATTATTATTATTATTATTATTATTATTATTATACAGGATATATATAGCTCCAACAGTTTGTGCAGAGCTTTACAACATGAGGGCATGTTTTCTCACCCTCATTTTTTCTCACCTCATCAAACTTTCTCTTGGATATATCATATTTTTGTTTCCTAGGTGTTCTCATGACTCCATAATTAGTGACTCTTCAATATACTTAGTAGCACTCCCTGAGTATTTTATAGTTAACATCTCTTCAGTAGATTCCTTGGTCCTCCTATTGGAGACCCATAAAACCTTATTCAGCTGGCCTCTTTTTGGAAAAAATTATGATTAGAAAAACTCCTAGAACTAGACCAGACCTTCACAACTCTCTCAACACAATTGAAATCCACTCCTACAGCAGATGTTGCAGCTAAACATGAAAATGCTGGTTGGGATCTGAACCTTTGTTTGATCAGCTTTGCTGATGTAGCACTACCCCCTTAAGGATTGTTTAATAATTTTTGGGTTCCCTGTCAGTCTGAAGCTTTTGTTGAAAGCACAACCTCTGCTGACACCACCGTGCTCTCATGACCAAAGTAAACCAAAACTGTAAAATGGACTCACACACAAGATAGGATAATCCAATATGAAGTTTATATTGGAATTAAAGGTAACATGGTCAAAAAGAACAAAATTACATTAATGTATGCATTAAATATATAACCACTCTTGGTAATTGTGAGCAAAAGTAGTGATAGCAATAGCGTGGTAGCGAATTAGGGCAGGGTCCCCTTTAAAGCACTCAACTTGTTTCAGATAGCACTGCAGTATCCTGGCCTGCAACTGTATGTCCTGCAGGTCAGCTTGAACAATAAACTGCAATGTAGATGTATTTCAACGATGGCGGCTGTGGGAACTAGGCCGCACACTGAGTGAACTATATGTAATGTTCATAACTATCTGTAGGTATATAGCTGAGGTGGTAAACTGTCCGTATTCACTTGGTTAGTGGGTGTATGTTTCTCTCTCAAAAAAAATTATTTTATAAAATAAATGCGATAATGTGATCAACATCTATTATATAGTGCCATTTGCAACTTAAATGTTGAAAGTGGCGCTAAGTAAATATAAGTACAAAACCATATAATAAAATCACATAAATGTCCATTAAAATAATAACACAATTATGTGAAAAGTTCATGGTTACTGTAAAAAATAATTGCAAACTAATAAGTGATGGAAAGTCCATGAAAAAAGTGTGATAAAGTGATCCAAAAGTCCATGAAAATGAATCTTCTATTTCACCATGTGCAGCAAAACAGACAACAAAGTGCTCCATAGGATACCCCACATGGATGTAAACTCACCAAAAATATTTGCCTTCCACTCTCGTGGTTGGCAACCAAGCTTCTTGGGACATATTTCCCATTTAAAGATGAATATGAATCATTGAAGATAAAGATTCCACTGCATCCAAATTGACCATGTAAAACAAAAAAAAAACGCACCAATGATGTAGTATGAACAAACAAATCCTTTTAAAACAATGGTTGGTCCTTACTCACAAGAAAAATCAATAAAACAAGCTCATATATTAAATCCTCTGATAAGACTGAAGTGAACATAGACCAGGTACTCTCACCACATCCGGTCTGTTGTTAATGGACGCTGTCACGTCACTTCCGGTCACAGTCCACGTCACTTCCGATCACAGATCCCATCACTTCCGGTCATAGCACCGTCACACTCTGGCGCATTTCGTCACTTCCAACTTACTCATAGGGGTGACGGTGCATTGCGGCATGCTACTCTTTATAGACCAAGCAATCAGAGACATTAATCCTACGATTGGTCAACTGCAATACACACCTTCATACAGGAAGTGAGGTGGGAACCTGGCGGAGGTTCACACCATATATAAACACAACTATGGGCAAAACTTAAAACAATTTAATTGGTCAACTACATATCCTAGCCACAGAAGCCAATTATAAGTTGCTAATGAGATGATATTTTGTACCATTCCATATTTCACTCTCAATATCTGAATATCCTTGCTGGTGTTTTATGGGGATGTACTACTGAGGGCACATTATACATATTTGTAGGAAGTGCCTAACAGCCATCATTTTTTGTTGTCTAGTAAGTACTAGCTAATCTACACTACTCTAGAAAATGTAGATCCCTATGGAAAAACCCAGTGAAAGTCTTTTTTTAATAAATAGCCAGTTGCCTGTACTAAATCAGAATTCCATTTACTCACTCATATATTTACTGCCACACAAAACCGGCCATAGGCCAGCTCCTGAAGAAAATATCGCCTTTGAGAAGCTGAAATATTGCATTCACTTGTGCGTGACATGAGAAAATGGTGAATATAGACTTGTATAGCGAGCGCTCACTGTAGTAAAAAAAATTTTTTTTGATGTAAGCTGCTAAAACACCGAAAAAGGTAACCAACATAACCTTCCAAGATAGTATATAGAGAAAAAGGTGCAGCGCTAATAGTGCCAGTAGTGCTATATCAATATAAATTCAATATCTGAAAGTGTACAGATGATATTAAAGATTAATTAAACGTCCCAAAGTCATACAAGGAGTGTGATATACAAATTCTGTCGTGTCTCCTTTTCCAAGAGTGATGATTAATCCACAGGTGAACAAGAAATAAGTGAAATACGCACTCACCAGAAGTGCGTTCAATATACGCATGAAAAGAAAATTCCTCTCTCATCAGGTACATCAGGGTCCTTTGGTCTCAGGTTAGGCTGCACTCTCGCTAGACATCCATCCTGGCCGGGTTCCCTGGTTCATTTCTGTGGTCCCTCCTTAAGCTTGGTTCATCTGGGGTCCCTCCTTAAGCTTGGTAACTTCTGGAGTCCCTCCTTAAGCTTGGTACTAAAAGGGTGGCGCTCATGAAGAGCAATAAGAGACATCACATAGCGTGATACTGCATAAAAGGCTTTATTTCCAAGTAGAAGTAAAATTAGACAAGTAAAGGTACTGACCGCAAGAATATTGTGTTGGCCACCAGCGGTGGCTTAGATGTCCATATGCTGTAGCCCCCCTTGACGCGTTTCGTGCGATGCACTTTGTCAAAAGGGTCCAGGGCTTACAGCATGGACATCCTCCCCCTCCTATTTATATCCAAGAATGGCAATTGCGCTGTTAGCGCCCGCCATTTTGCCGGCGACCGCATTTACCAGCAATGTTCCCCGTGTGTCTCCAGGCTTGTAGACAGTGACGCCAAATTATTGGAGAGGAAGGGTGTAAAGATCCATTATTGGCAATAACAAAACAGTAGTATATAAAGCCACAGGATTATACTCCATAAGATTACTGGGCAGCAAACGAAAATATGAATAGAAAATAAGAAGAGAATTAAAAAGGGGATGATTTTATAAAAACCTGTATACCCCTATATAGCGCTATTAACCAATCAGCTGCAAATATAAAATAGGCTGTGCCCTCCCCTTTAAACATATGAATGACCTATATTTCATAGTCATGTATATAATATGTGTAATTTAAAAGGGAAACATTGTTTTAATGAGTATATCATCTAAGATATATATATATGCCCATGATATGACATCAATAATATGGATGTCAGAGTTCTGCGCAAACTGTATATAATAAACTAAAAGCATAAATAGTAACCATATACAAACACTAATAGTGCGTAATAACATAGAACGTGTGGTCACTAGAAATATTGGGGTCAGTAAACATATATAAAGTAATATAAATCACATATAGGAACATATAAAAATCACACATGTGTATATATGGCCATGCATGACAGAAACCTCTTAAAAATAGGAATAAAATCTGAACGGATCAATAAGCATAAAATTCCTTAAAGTTGCAATGACGAGAACCCTACAATATAAGATAAAAGAACAGGCTCATAAAAATCGTTCAAGCTAAAAGGATCGATATGTAAAAATTCGATATAAAAAATTCGATATAAAAAATGTGATGTATAAAATTCGATACAGAAAAATTACTTTGATAAAATGTAGTATAAATGGACCGGAATAAACATTATCATAAAAAAATGTATTATATATGATTCCGTAAACCCTTATATATATAAAAAAGTGTTAAGACCATATGTTATAAGACCATAAAATATTCAGTCGGGTTCATAAATGTATAAAAATTCTAACTGTTGTCAATAAAGCAATTCAAATCAAATTCAATATTATGTCTGCTTGGGTGTAA